ATGTCATCCACCGACCAAGTCCCAGGAGCTCGTCGATGCGAAATGAGTTGGGGGGATGAGAAGCAGCTTGTGCAGCGCCAGGCTTTCCTTGGAGAGGAGGTGGGGGTCAGGAGGAAAAAATTGGGCAACATACGAGAGGCACGGCAGGACAACCATAAGGTAGAGACGGCAGGAGGCTTCAGAGGGTGCCCGAGACAGCGCTATCTCTCGGCACCTAGACCACCATTTCTGGCCAGGAGCTTTCCACTGGGCCCGAAGGTCGGCCTCAGGGCCGAGCCAAACCCCGAGGTACTTCGCAGCGCCCACGATTTTAAAATTCCCCCACCCTGGGGCAACTTCAGCGAGGGCCTCTCTCGCGCTGCAAATCGTCAATTCATCGCACGGGGCCCAGAGAGGGACGAAACAACACTTACTGGGCAGGAGCTGGAGAGAGGCAAGCTGCTCGGCTTGCTCGAAAGTGCGGTGCATGTGCTTTGCACTCTGGATGGTCATTGCGACCGCGCCAATATCGCCGGCGCACCCCCCGAGGGCCCCCACTTGCTCCGACGGAAACGCCATGGCCAGACAACACACCCAGGGATCGAAACCAAGCGCCCAGAGACTCCCCGACAGTGGGCACCCTTGGGGGGCGCCTGACGCGATAGAAAAAAAGTGGCTCTACATTTTCACCCACGCGGGCGTGTCCGAGGGCGTCGCGAGCCAACCCGTCGAGCATGTTGCAATAGGAGGGGGGGAGACGAAACCGCCCAAGCGTACGACGGAGGAAAAGTTGAGACATGCTCGGGAAGGCAGCACGCACATCGAAACTAAAGAACCCAGGGAGTCTTTCGGCCGCCGCTGGAAGGAGCCCCGCCCGCCGACATTCGGCGTCGAGAGCAGCAATGTGCTCGCCAAACTTCCTTCCAGCAACGAACCCTTTCTGGACTCCATGGGTATCTCTAGCGACGACACCAGCTAGATACAGGTTGACCGCAGCGGCCACACCTTTACTGTCTGAGTTCTTTAAAGCCAAGGGCCTCGTGCACTCATGAGATCTCGCGCAGTCCACGAGGTCCGAGGGCTCGTCGCCTTTGGGCAGAAACGCCAGGAGGCAGTCGTTGAAGTGCTCAGGCGGCCGCCGCCCGCTGGCCATCTCTTCCATCACCCTGTGCAGTGCCATGGTCAGCTGCGGATGGCCGCGCCATGCGCGGGCTGGGAGTCGATCAGGTCAAGGAGCTGAATCCTTCGCCCGCTTGAAGACGAAGCGAAGGTTGTCGATTGTGGGCATCTGCAGCATCGCATTGTCAAGCTCGGGCATGTGGCGATCCAGGAAGGGGCCAAACAGGTCTTCACGCACAGGGGAGGCCGTGAAGGCGGGCCCCCAGTGCTTCTTCAGGGCCTCTACCATGGAGCTGGGTTCTCGCACAACCTCAACCTCCTCAGCGGCCAGCGCCCCCGACGCTGCTCTGTTGGTCATCTGGCCTTGCCTCGCACCCGCCAGAATCAGCATCCGCTTGGTGTTGTCCCACAGGAGCGCCCGCTGCACCATCGCCGTCGACTTCCGCTTGGTAGTGCGGCCTGCGCCCTGACGTTCCAATGCAGCAGCTTCGCGGTCCAACATGGCAGCCTGCGCATCCTTCACCCGGTTGTGGAACGTGTCGGGCTGCCTCAGCTTCACCTCGTGCCCCTCGATGTAGAGCTCCCTCTCGCCGACGATCGCGTGGTTGATCAGCTTCTTTGCCAGCCGTACGTCCTGGCGCCACACTGCGCGAGCCGCAGCGCCAAAGGCCAGTAAGGTCGCTCTTCTCGGGATATCACCTTCTCCTGTGACTTCCTTGGCCAAGAGTTCATTACGTGCAGTCTCCGCCGCCACCGTCATAAGTTCTTTGATCACCTCCCACTGGCGGTACGGCTCCATCAACTCATAGTTGCATCTGTCAATGCATCTCTCGAGGGCAGCACGATACTCCTCGCTCTTAAAGATGAATGATGGGATGCGCTGGTGGGCCGAAGCAGGGGTTCGTCGAGTAGCCATCCGAAGTTTGATGATCGCATGGTCGCTCAGCTGCTTGGCATTCAGGGTGAAACCGTCCTGGATCACCTCCACGTCCATCTCAGTCTCTATGGCGAAGGCCGACTCTATAGAAACAAAGAAACGATCAATCGTTCTCAGGGTATTGTTATCCGCAGTGCAATGAGTCGGAATTGGAGAACAAACCTCAAGCATCGCCGCATCATTGAGGAGCTCACGCCAGAACGGCTCCGAGCGGTTGGCGCGGCCTGCCTCAGATCTCCTCGCTTGTTTCGGTTGTGGATACAGAATGGACTCCGTCGGTGCGTCAGTCATGTTGAAGTCGCCGCCAACAATGAACGTGTGCCTCAACGGGTCGCGCTTCGACCATGCAATACATTCCTTCCAGGCCCGCTTGATCTTTGTACGACCCGCCTCCGAAATATCGTAGTTATGAATATTCATGATGCGAAACTCACCCTTTGTCACAGGGTTCTCGATGCTCGTCATGATGGCTCTTCCATCGCCCAGGGTGCGGCGGCGAAGCCGAGGAAGACCCGGCGCTCCAGCAGCCGCCACGGTGCGCTCGTCATACCATGGAATCAAGATCGCCACCCCGCCTGCACTGGGACGGTCCGTCCCCGAAAAATGCATCTTGTAGTTCACGTTAAACTGGTTCAGGTAGTTGGTCAATGAGATTTCAAAACCATGGACCTCTTGAATGATAACAGCATTATGCTTGCGAAGAAGGTCTGCAACAATTGCGATTTTACGGCGGCGCCGTGCAGGATCCCGACGCAACAGAAGACCGTGGGCGTTCCAGCAGACAATGCCGACGTGGTGCGAAGATGCCTGGAGTTCCCACGGTGCGAAACGCTGATTAGGAACACGTCCAATCTGATGTGTCAACTTCCTTCCATAGATCTTTGAATTGAATGCTAACCGCTTGCCAATCGATGCCGAGCCCTTCTGCAGCCTGTGTGTCCCATGCCAATTTCGTAGCTTCCTCAGGACCCTGAACCTGCACCGATACGATCGCTGTCTGCCCAACGTAGGCCAGTCCTTTCGGTCTCCGTGCCCAGCATTCAGTAGAACGCGTGCCAGCCACCGTCGAAGATGCCGCAGCTGTCCGTACCAGTCCCAGCAGCTTCTTGGTCTGAACCTCTTTCCGAATGTCTTTTGCGTTCTTATCAGGGTTGACGTACAGGGCAATCCGAGCTCCGCTGACAGCGAGCACCTCAAACTGGCGCCAACCTTGATTATTGGGTAACTTGAGGGATGTCTGCAATGCATTGGCTCGAGCAGTACCAGCGGCACCTCCGATGCACTGCAGGATGACCTTCTTCTGCGGAGTGTCGCCGACCAGTCGCAGCTGGTCCCTGGATACATTGGCCGCCTGCAACCATTCGTCCAGTGCATTGAATATGTCGTTCGGAGCCGCCGCCACATCGCAGGACAGGATGAAGACTGAGGGGTCGACGGTGCGGTTCCACTCCATGAGTTTGGCCACGTCAATGGGTGCAGCTGCCTGCTGCTCTGCGATGGCCAGGGTGTCCTGCAACTGCTTGACTGATGCCTTGAGGGCCTCATGCTCTTGGCTGGGTTCCTCATTCTTGGCTTGAACCACTCGAAGCTGGGCCTGTTGTCTGTCGAGGCGTTCCGCGTGGGGCTGGAGCTGTTTTGCCACCATCGTACCGAGCTCTTCACGTACAGAGTGCATCGTGTCCTGGAAGGTGGTCTCCATGTATTTGGCCATGTGGCCTCTGAACTGCTTCATGTGCTTGTTGATGATACTGTCCGCGGTGCCTCCAACTGACCCACCACTGGACGTGCTGCCCGCTGTCGAGACAGCAGAAGGAGGAAGTCCAGCTCCAGCTCGGTGATGTGTCCAGGGATCCTGTTCTTGAAGGTCGTCTCGGTCTCCAGCACGATGAGACCTACGTTCGCCACTCCTGCTCTTGGCGTCGGCGTCCTCGTCGGCGCCTGCAGGACCAGCGCGGCCGCGGAGGCCCATGGAAGGAGAAAAAGGAAATTCGTGATGGAAAGGTGTCCGCTGGCACCCGACGTGCCAGAAATCCTTGAGAAAGGTTGCCCGCTCTCGGCGCAGTCCCCCGCTACTGCTGCAACGGGACGGAGGGGCCTTGAGCCAAAACGGCAACGGTGGAGAAGGAGGAGGAGGAGGAGGAGGAGGAGGAGGAAAAGGAGGGGGAGGAACACCCCCCGAGAAGCCCTCACTCCTCCTCCTCCTCCTCCTCCTCCTCCTCCCCCTCCTCCTCCTCCTCCTCCTCCTCCTCCTCCTCCTCCTCCTCCTCCTCCTCCTCCTCCTCCTCCCGAAGCGCCGTCTGAGTCACTTCGGGCGCCCCCGAGAAGCCCTCGCTCGCCATCGCTCGGGCGTCCATTCCCTGTGCCTTCTTCAACTTCGTGCGCGTACTTGGTCGCAGGATGGTCCCAGAGGCTCCTCGACGGCCCTCGCCGAAAATTTAAATGCACACGTCCGAGCGATGCCAAGCTCAACGAGGCGCAACTGCTGGGGTCGATCGAGGCCGCCTCGGGCAGCCACCAGCGGGTGGCCTGTGGGTGTCCCTGCCAGCCCCCCTGCCGCTTCCGGAGCTCGCCCCCCGACACGCCCATCAGGGTCCGCCCGCCCGACTGATTTCTTGACAAGGACAATAAGAATACCCCACGCAAACGGCGAAGCGTGGCCAGCTTGGCCGCTGCATCGACTGTCGCTCCAGCGAGCCGCAGCCGCTTATAGAAACGACGTGGAGCAAGCGGTGCGGTGCAAGAGCCACGAATCCGCAGGCGCCAGGGCTTCCAGCCCAGCGCACTCCCATCAGGGTCCGCCCGCCCGACCCGCCCGCCAGGGTTCGCACGCCCGACCATACCGCCAGGATCGTCGTCGCAGTCGTCGCCCTCATCGGCGTCGTCGCTGTCGCACGCCTCTTCGCCGTCGTCGTCGCCCTCGTCGTCGGCGTCGGCGTCGGCGTCGTGGCCAGGCCCGCCGGCGGACCACGCAGGAGCGCTCGCCCGCGCGCGCGAAGAGCGCGTGCAACCTCGGGGCGGGCATGTCCTCGAGCACCTCGAGCGCAGTTTTGCACTCGCGGCCATAACGGGCGTGATGGGGGGGGGGCGGGGGGGGGGAGCACAACGCAGCGCGCCCCCCACCACCCCGGCTGTGGTGCCACACGCACTGCGGCAGTGCTGGGGACGCGCACTCAGGGGGGGAGCGGGGGGGAAGGAGGCATAGCGCACGTGATGGCCGAGAGGGTCACAGAAACACTCTCCTCTCGGCGGGCGCGGGGCCCTCGCTGCTGCTGCCGGCAGGGCGCGGGAGCCGAAGGCCATCCCAAAACGACCACCAGGCGCCTCCCCAGGATCCTCAGAAGACGGCCCCTCGAGGTCCCAGGGGCTCCAAGATCTTCCAGGATGCCCAAGGCGGCCCCGAGGAACCTCCAAGTTCCAAGCGACGCCCGAGGTGGCCCCCAGGAAGGCCCTCACAAACAACGAAAATTTGAACATAGGGCTTGAGCTAAACAGCGTTTTCCATCTTCGTGTGGTTGTCGCTTTTCCCCGTTCTGTCTCCGTGCGGCAAAACGACATGAAGACGAACACGGTCCACGACATCGCCAAAACACCGTTAGCCTCGCGCCTTGGCTGCTGGTCCTCCTCCCCCAGACCCCCCTCACGTCGTGGAAAAATCCGCCGACGTGTGTGAGGGGCTTGTCCGTTCGAGTCGTCCTCTCCGTCATTCGTTAGTCGTCGTCTCTGTCGTCCCCTTCCCCTGCGCCCCCCCTTTCTCTGGGCACGTCGCTGCTCCTCCCCTTTCCCTAGGTCCTCCTCAAGCGCGCCAGCCAAAGCGAAATTGAGCAACGTCGTAATTGAGTCGAAGGGAAGTCCCTTCCCTTTGATCCCTCCCCTGCCAGGGGGGAGGGGGGTCCCTGGGGGGGGGCTCTGGTCAGATACGACTCCCCCCAGGGGGTCCTGGGGCCCCAAAAAGGCCCAAGACGGGCCAAGAGTCCAAGAGTGCCGCGTGTGTGCGCACTGGTTCAATGAACTGCAGGACTGAGACGGAAGACCGCCACGGCAGGTTTGGAAGACCATGCTCGGCGGCGAGCGCGGGGGTAAGTGAGATGGAGAAGGCCTTCTCAGAAGGCGGCGGGACTTCTCAGAAGGCCTCGCGCCTTCTGGGAGGTTTTCTGTGTCTCGGGGGTACACTGCCCCAGGATGCACCAGAGCATTCAACAAACACGGAGAATATTGATAAAACACCTTACCCGAACCGGCCTCGACCTCGGTCGGACCGTACTGAGGGCCCCCCCCACGCGGGCACCGTGAAAGGCGTGGGGTCCATGAGGCGGTGCAGCGACAGCGCCGGGGTGCCCTCGTCGATCTCGCTGCTGATCCTCCGCAGCCACGGGGTGTCGTCCTGCGCCAGGAAAGGGTCCTCCAGAATGGTCCAAAACCAAACGTCGTACCTCTCGAAAAAATCGAGATGGAAATTGTTCATGGTTTTCGGCCTCTCGGGGCCCACAACCGGGCCTCGGGACCGTCCACACGACTCGGGATGCAAAACGGGTCCCAGGGAAGTGGTCGAGAGGTCAGGGGCCCGTGTCTCGAAGAGATCGAGACGGTGGATGTCTGGGAACCTTCATCCAGGCGTTGCGACTCCTTTGCGCTGGCTCTGAAACTGCCGCAGAAAGACTGGGGGAAAGACGCATCGGCAAAAACAGAAACTCTCGAAGCTCCGCACGGATGTCCTGGATCGGCGCTGGACCCCGCTCCCTGGCTCGCGGAACGCGACAGGGGCGGCCCTGGAGGCACCGCCAGGGGGGGCCATCGCCGATCCAAGCGATCCCCGCGCGGAACTCCGACAATTTATGCTCATGGCCCAAGCCGAGCTCGGTGGTGGGCACAAGCCCTGCTTCCACCAAGACGGTGGTGCAGCTCGAGTTAGAGCGTGGGAGCGCGCGGTGAAGGCCTGGGCCGGAAGCTGAAGGCATTCTGGCTGCATTTGGTGAACGTTTCACCCCTGCTCACGCACCGTCTGGTGCAAGGCGTACTTGACTTGACTTGACTTGGCTCAAGCCGGTTTTCGAACTTCTGCTTAGCGTGTCAGGGAGGCGGCCCTGGCGACACGCCATGGCCTGCCCATTATCTGATAGCGTGTCGCGTGGTGGGCCAGAACCGGCCGCGTGACGTGCTAAGCCACAATTCCAGGCCGTATGCTCATGCCGCCGTCTCTTCTTCGGTCTTGCGCGAACGCCCTGAGATCCGACGACGCGAGGGAAAACATACTAGAACGAAAAATCACGACCGGAGATCTAGACTTAGGTCGGGCATGCCCCTCTACAGGGGGATTTCGGACGCAAATTTCAAAATACCCCCAACATACTCGAAAACACTAAAAAAATAGTCAAAAAATGGTCGCCTGACTATTGTTGACAATTTTTCCCCACATCCAAAGTGGGGTTCTTGTTTTCTCTGCACCCCCCCCGCGCAGGATCTCACACCCTCTCTCTCTCTCTTCCTCTTTCTCGCCATCATCATCATCAGTCATCATCATCATGACCCACGCCTCTCCTCCTCAGCACCATCACACTTACCCATACACCACTCGATCGCTCACTCACTCACTCACTCACTCACTCATCATGATCATCACATGGGGATATCATCCGTTGGCGTCACACATCACTCAGTCAGTCCGTCACTCACTCGAGTATCAAGCGGGAGCGTCGTCTGTGAGTGAATTGCGAGGAAGTCTCAGGCGGGAGCCTCTCCCTATGGGGCCCGCAGATCATCTTACTAATCCGAGGCGGGTCATCGGGATCCTGTAACTGTCGTCACTTTTGGGCTCCTGGGGCGTGAATTTGGAGGAAGTATCAGGCGGGAGCGTCGTCTGTGAGTGAATTGCGAGGAAGTCTCAGGCGGGAGCCTCTCCCTATGGGGCCCGCAGATCATCTTACTAATCCGAGGCGGGTCATCGGGATCCTGTAACTGTCGTCACTTTTGGGCTCCTGGGGCGTGAATCTGGAGGAAGTATCTAGCGGGAGCCTCGTCTGTGAGTGAATTGCGAGGAAGTCTCAGGCGGGAGCCTCTCCCTATGGGGCCCGCAGATCATCTTACTAATCCGAGGCGGGTCATCGGGATCCTGTAACTGTCGTCACTTTTGGGCTCCTGGGGCGTGAATTTGGAGGAAGTATCTAGCGGGAGCGTCGTCTGTGAGTGAATTGCGAGGAAGTCTCAGGCGGGAGCCTCTCCCTATGGGGCCCGCAGATCATCTTACTAATCCGAGGCGGGTCATTGGGATCCTGTAACTGTCGTCACTTTTGGGCTCCTGGGGCGTGAATTTGGAGGAAGTATCAGGCGGGAGCGTTGTCTGTGAGTGAATTGCGAGGAAGTCTCAGGCGGGAGCCTCTCTCTATGGGGCCCGCAGATCATCTTACCAATCCGAGGCGGGTCATCGGGATCCTGTAACTGTCGTCACTTTTGGGCTCCTGGGGCGTGAATTTGGAGGAAGTATCAGGCGGGAGCCTCGTCTGTGAGTGAATTGCGAGGAAGTCTCAGGCGGGGGTCTCCTCCCTATGGGGCCCCCAAATCATGTTATTACTCAGAGGCGGGCCATCGGAATCTTGTAACTGTCGTCACTTTTGGCCTGAATATGGGAGAAGGATCAGGCGGGAGCCTCGTCTGTGAGTGACTTGCGAGGAAGTCTCAGGCGGAAGCCCCCTCCCTATGGGGCCCGCAGATCATCTTACTAATCCGAGCGGGTCATCGGAAACCTGTAACTGTCGTCGCTTTTGGGCTCCTGAGGCCTGAATATGGGAGAAGTATCAGGCGGGCGCTCCATCCCTGTGGGGCACGCACTTCATGTTCGAACCCGAGCGGGTCATCCGAGCGAGCTTTTTGGGCTCCTCAGTTCCTGCGGCCTGAACAAGGGGGAAGTATCAAGCGGGAACTTTGTCTGTGGGCGGTGCGGGTAGTCCCGTCTGAGGGCCGTCTCTTGTCGTCACTTGGAGGATCGAAGGGGAACTCGCTCCTGCGGCCTGAATATTCTCTTTCGACTTGCCCACGTCCAATTGCTGGCCAACCTTGTCGTCGTCGGCGGGAGAGGGAACTTGAAAAGGTTCACTCTCCCGCGTTCGTTTGGGCTGGGGAGGGAACTTGAAAAGGTTCACTCTCTAGCTGCGGGAGAGGGAACTTGAAAAGGTTCACTTTCCCGTTCGTGGCAGGATTGGGCTGGAGAGGGAACTTGAAAAGGTTCGACGTCTCTAGCTGCGGGAGAGGGAACTTGCAAAGGTTCCCTGTCCCCCCTTGTCGTCGGAGTGAAGGGGGAACTTGAAAAGGTTCACCCTTCATTCGCGGGAAAGGGAACTTGAAAAGGTTCACTTTCCCTTGGAGAGGGAACTTGCAAAGGTTCACTCTCCAGCAGCGGGAAAGGGAACTTGCAAAGGTTCACTTCCCCGCGCGTTCCAACTGGAGAGGGAACTTGAAAAGGTTCCCTCTCCAGCAGCGGGAAAGGGAACTTGCAAAGGTTCACTTTCCCGCGCGTTCCAACTGGAGAGGGAACTTGAAAAGGTCCCCTCTCCAGTTTTTTTCTGACCCCCCCTTTTCCTAACACCGATGTTTCAATGGACTAAGGGGTCACTAACGCAATTTTTTTCTCGGGCGTCGGGGGAGGAATCGCGTTGGCCGGAAACGGAGCTGAGCCTGGCGCGGGCGCTCGATGGAAAACCCTCACGAAACGCTTTGAAATCGATGATTGCGGATGACGAGCAGCACATTTTGCAATTTCCCCATAGGGGGATGGAACGCAATGTACGTTTTTCTTTGGCATGCGTCACGAAAACGGCCCCTCGAGAACGAAAACGACGCAACGCCCTATTTTCATTATGAAACAATTAGCATTTGAGAGAGTTTTTCATAGATGCACGTGCCCGGGGGTCCTGGAGGAGGAGGAGGAGGAGGAGGAGGAGGAGGAGGAGGAGGAGGAGGAGGAGGAGGAGGAGAGGAAGGAGCAGGAGGAGGAGGAGGAGGAGGAGGAGGAGGAGGAGGAGGAGGAGGGATAGGAGGAGGAGGAGGAGGAGGCGCGAGGAAAAGGACGACGACGGGCAGGCGGTGTACGTGAGCCCGGAAGGCCAGCGCTTCCCGGATATCCTGACGGCCTACGAGCACGACGTCGCGACCAAGGCGGCGCGCGACGCGCCCGATCATCGCCAGGTGGTGTCGTTCCTGGCGAAGTTCATGCAGGACATGGGCTGCGAGAGCGAGGAGGCCCCGAAGACGGGGGACGGCTTCCGCATCGTGAGGACCACGAGCACTCTGGACGACTGGCTGCACCGCGGCGACGACCCGGTCCTCAAGCACATGAGTTTGCAGGTGTACGCCATGTGGGTCTACCGCTGCGAGAAGCCCGACGGCCTGTGGCGAGACAAGACCCGCGCGCAGCACCTGGACTTCGACTTCGCGCCGCACTACGCGCTGCACGCGACCCACAAGCAGCGCCTGGCCCCCGAGCTCCGCGTGCCCCTCTTCGAGGGCTTCACCATGCCGACGATGAACAAAGACTGCGAGACAGCATGCTTGTACAAGCAGTTGCTCCTGAGGCCGTTGGAGGTGGACAACTCGGAGACGCCGGAGGACGAGCGCATGCTGCGGGCGTTCGCGCCCCTGATGGAGGCCCCCGGCGCGCCCCGTGACATGAATGTGCGCGGGTCAACCTGTTTCACGCGATCTTGGGCGCACTGCGAGGCTCAGGCGGACGCGGAGGCCCGCGTCGCCGCGGCCCGCTTCCTCGCGCGGCACGAGTGGCCCTCGATCTGGGAGACACAGGAGGTGCAGGAGGAATTCTTCGCGCTGCACCAGGCGCGAGCGGAGGGTACGGACGCGGAGGGCGACTCGCTGGACCCCGCCCACTGCCCCGACAGAGAGAAACCCAGGGCGACGGTGCACCAGTACGTCTCCATGATAGCCATGCAGGTGGCGCCCAACCTCGAGGGAATCGCCCTGGCGCGCGAGGAGAAGAAACCCCGGCAGTACCAGAGCGACGCAGCAGTGCAGAGCGCGTACCTCAAGGCGACCACCGGTGGAGGTGCCGGTCAGGACGAGGGCGCCGAGGCGGGCGAGGGCGTGGAGCACCCGGGCGCGCCTCCCAAGCGTGTCGGAGCACACTTCCAGCCGGTCCCGACGTGGGGCATCGACGGGGGGCAGGACATGGCGGACGTGCTGAACTTCGCGCACCGTAAGCGCCTCACGAGGTTGGCCAAGGAGCTCCTCGCGCTCCCGTGCATGTCCGAGGCGGCCCGCGAGGGCGCGGGTGCGCCCGAGCCGACGGAGGCCGCGACTGCTCCCGCGCCCGCGGCCGGGTACCGACCGCTGGTGACCGCGGCGCGCGAGGAGAGACACGCCTGGGGAAACCTGCACGACGAACGCCTCCAGGACAATCGCGACGAGGAAGATGCAGGCGCTCCGGACGGCGAGGACGCGGGCGCAGGCGGCCTGGGCGGCGACCCCGCTGCGGCCAGTTTTGCCAGCAGCGTGTACTCAACGCCCAGCGCGTACATCGCCGCCCTGGTCGCTGGGTTGCCGGAGAACGAGAGACTCACGCGGGACCAGACGCTCTTCGTCGCCAAGTTCGCCAAGGCCTGCGACGACGCCTGGGAGGACGACGTGCAGAAGAAGCCCTGGAGCGAGAGAAAAGTGACGCACTTGCTCCTGTTGGGCCAGGGCGGCTCGGGGAAGACGCACGTGGTGCAGAAGATCGTCTTCCCAGTGGTGGAGTATTTGTGGCCCTCGTCGGCGCAGGACAAGGGCGCCATGATGGTCGTGGCCTTCTCGAACGCGCAGGCGAAGAACATCTCCACGGAGACGGTGAAGGCCAGAACGCTGCACAACGCCTGTGCCCTGCGAGTCCAGAAGTACATCAACGCGAAGATGAGACCGGGGAGCATGCAGAAGAGATTGCAGTGGTTGTGGGAGCACGTCCGCGTCCTGGTCATCGAGGAGGTGAGCATGGTGGCAGCTGCTCTGTACAACGCTCTGGACCTCCGCGCCTGCCACGGGCGCAGTGACACGCACGACGTGCAGGAGTCCACCTACAAGAGGCCGCACCACCACTTCGGCCGCGCCCCCATCGTGTTGCACCTCGGGGATTTCCTGCAGCTGAAGCCCACCGGCAGCATCGGGCTCCTGACGGACGTGAACGAGCTCCTGGACGACGGGTCGTACAAGTACGCGGAGCCGCCGACGGTGGAGATCCAGCACGCCATCAGGGTATTCTCTCAGATCCCCTGCGTCTTCGAGCTGAAAGGCACGAAGCGCTTCGAGCCGGGGGACCCTCTGATCGCGTTCTTGGGCTGCATGCGCGAGGGCAAGCGCTTCCCACCAGAGGTCTGGTCTGCCTGGGAGAAGACGCTGGCCTCTGACAACCACGGCGTCCTGGACCCTCGGCACCAGCACGAGAACTTTCGGCTCGGCTACGGCATGGGCATCTACTGGGAGACGCTGGCGAGGTGGATCAACACGCGCGCTCGTCGCGACGCGCGGCGCCTCGGCGTCCCCCTCGTTTTCCTGCAGGCCGTAGACGAGTGCGGCACGATTCAAGGCGAACCAGACGCAGGCCGGCGCCTCCTGAACGTCCCGAACATGCACAAGACGGGGGACATCCACGGCGTCTTACCGGCACACGTCGGCATGGAGGTCCGGTTCACGGCCGTGCAGGAGGAGCTGAAGAAGAAGTTGGGGCTCGTGCAGGAGCAACGGGCCACCATCGTGTCCTTCGAGTTTCACGCAGACGACGAGCGGGACTACGAGGAGTGCGCGCCGGGCCAGCTCTTCCGCCCCCGCTTCCTACCGCAGGGAATCTGGCTGCATGTGCACGGCTTCCAGGAGTCCCCGATCTACAAGGAGGTCGCCGAGGTGCTGCTGCAGGGCACCGAGGGCGCTGACGACGACGGCGAGGCCCAGGCGCGGGCGAGGAGCTTGCTCATGTTCAGGCCCAGCGAGCAGGAGCTCACGTGGCAGAGCTCGGGGGCGCACACTGTGCGCCGCTCGGGATTCACGCTGACGCACGCGTCCTACCTGACCTCCACGCTGTCGCAGGGCCAGACGCTGCGCAAGGGCGTCACCATCGACTGCGCCAGGGATGAGGACGCTGGCCGCACGGGCATGTCGGACGATATGTGGTGGCTGCACCTCTACGTCATGTTCTCCCGCGCCACGTGCATGCGGAACATGCTGATCCTGCGGCCGCCCGCGCGAGAGTTCCTGGAGCGCGGGCCGCCGGCGTCACTGCGGAAGGCGCTCCAGGAGTTCGACGAGAGAGCGGTGGACTCCAGGGCTGAAGCGGAGCAGCTCGCGGCAGAGCTGGGCTTCGTGCTGCCGCCCGCCTGAGCGCCGCGGCGCGCGCGAGGAGGCCCGCGGGGTTGTCCCAACGGCCTGGCCCGCGGGGTTGTCCCGACGGCCTGCCCTCGCGCTCCGGCGGCCCGCGGGAGTGCCCCGCAGGCATGGCTGGCCCGAAGGGTTGACCCGACGGCTTCGCGATCTGGCCGTCGGCAAACGCGCGCGTTCTGACCGAGGCGGCGACGGCGCCGAGGAAAATCGACTTGCTTCCCCCGACCGGGGGGAAAGGGACGTGCACGTGGAAAAGAGGCAGGAGGAGGATGAGGACGGAAGGGGTATGGGGAGGGCGATGATGAGGAGGAGGTGGAGAAGGAGGAGGAGGAGGAGGAGGAGGAGAAGGAGGGGGGGGGAAATAGAAAAAGAGGAAAAGATGGCAGAGGAGAGGGCGATACGAGGGTGTTTGCCATGGCCGGGAGGAAAGGGATAAGGGAAAGCTAAACAGATTATCATGTGGGGTCCTTCCGTCGGAGTAATTGAATTTTCCTCCTGTAGAGGGACAGGCCCGACTTAGATCTAGACACCGTCTTTCTGCGGCATGTTTCGAGCCAGATCGATCTGTGATGGTCCGTCCTGGGGCCTGAACCCAGGCGGCCACGCCTGGTGCGAAAGCATCGCAACGTCAGGATCTCGGAGACTTTCTTCTTCACAGGTGGCGACATTCGAACCCTACACTTAGGTCGGGCGTGTCCCCCTACAGGCGGATTTTGGGCGAAAAATCCCACCACCCCCAGAAATATCCAAAAATTGTCAAACATGGTAGACAAATCGTTCCCATTCTATTTTCTGGCTATTTTGGAATGTTCCCCCTGTGGAGGGACACGCCCGACTTAGCACTACATGCACCAATCATTGATTCTCCTGGATCGATGGGAAGCGGGGTCAGGGTTCGGATTTCGCCACGTGTTCGACGAATCCCGAACCCTACCCCCGCCGCCCCTCGAGTTGCTTGCATCGTCGATCGGCGAGGGTAGGGTCGGGGACTTCGCCGCCGAAAGGTTTGCTTCCCTCCGGTGTTGCGCGGTGTCTTGACTTCTGGTAATGCGATGTCCCTGAAGTACCGACCCTTTGTCCAGGGCCGGCTCCTCATCCCGAGCGAGCAATTTTTGACGGCCCCTAGGCTCGGCGAGGCCTCCCTGAGACCAAACATGGACGAACATCTCCCGCCGTTTTTTTTCACGATCGAGCATTTCTGCAAGATCTTCCTTCTCTGCGCCTGCGGTCCGTCACCGCACTCTGTTGGGACGACCCGAATCCGAAGACCGCGCGGTGACCCCGAATCCCCTCTGACTCGCCACGCGGTGCGGTAACCGCGCCGTTAGGGCCCCCCCCCCAGAGAAGGCCTGGTGTGAAAAGTCGCAGCGCTTGGATCTCAAGGCCAGAGCTCGACCTGAACAGTGCTTTCCGGGTTCGTTATGCCTTCGGCCTCGGCGAGGCGCAGCCACCGAAGAGCACCCCGAGGCTGGAGCACCACTGCGGGCCGACGAACACGTCCGAAAGCCTTGCACCTCCTGGTGTTGGCCACTGCACCAGAGGAGGCTAGCCTTCCCCGAGCAGAGCGACGCCCAGACCCCCGGCGCCATGACCTTCACAAATTAGGCCTGCCTAAGGGTTCCTACTGGGTTACGTAAGAGGCATGGTGCCTC